CTAGCAGAGTACTAGGCCCACAGAAGGTTATGCCCAGCAGCATCTCCACCCACCCCTGATCTTTGCCTTCCCAACCAGGTGCTGCAGCGATTGGAGCAGAGACGACAGCAAGCTTCTGAGCGGGAGGCTCCAGGCATAGAACAGCGGCTACAGGAAGTGAGGGAGAGCATCCGGCGGGCACAAGTGAGGCACAGCCCTGGGGGTTAGAGCCACTGAGATCCCACTTTCTCAGGCAACACCCCCTACATACCTCTTTCTGATGATCAGGGGAGGGGGGAGGTAGAGAGAAGATACAGTTGGGCAGGTTCCATCAACCTCCCTCCTTTCCTTGCCAGGTGAGCCAGGTGAAGGGGGCTGCCCGGCTGGCCCTACTTCAGGGGGCTGGCCTGGATGTACAGCTCTGGCTGAAGCCAGCTATGACCCAGGCTCAGGATGAGGTGGAGCAGGAGCGACGGCTCAGTGAGGCTCGGCTGTCCCAAAGGGACCTCTCTCCCACTGTGAGTTCCTCCCCTTATCACATACACAACCTAGGAGGGTGAAACTCCCCAGTAGAAGGTAGACCCTGTAAAATTGGAGTCACAATAGTCAAAGGGTTGTTGTTAAAGCTTAAGTGAAATCATGCAGGTATAATTCTTTGCGTACTTTTTGGCATAGAAAGTCCTCAATAAAGTTTTATTATGAGTTTAATGTGGTAGTTAAGAAGTAAGATTCTGGGGACAGTCTGTAAGTGGTTTGAGTACCAGTCATTCTACTTATTGGGTTGGTGAAATGGAAAGTGACTTAACCTTTCTGTGCCTCAGTATACTCATCAGTAAAATGAGGTTTATAGTTGTGCAAAATAACACTAGATCATTATGAAGATTTAAATAAGACAATATATATAACATAGTATTGTGCCTAGCACATAGTAAGCATTCAATTACTGTAACTGCTATTACTGTTAGTATTATCCTGCTCTTTGGTGATCTGGTTGTGATCCATGGTGTCTTTTGGGGATAGAATGGAAAAGGAGACAAGATATAACCAGTAATTGAGAGTGGGCCCCATAATCAAGTCTATTCTCTGCCTCCTTCCAGGCTGAGGATGCTGAGCTTTCTGACTTTGAGGAATGTGAGGAGGCGGGGGAGCTCTTTGAGGAGCCTGCCCCTCAAGCTTTGGCAACCAGGTCCCTCCCCTGCCCTGCACATGTGGTGTTTGGCTATCAGGTATGAATGGGGCAGGGGGCCTTGGATGGGCAAGGGTGGGGCACATCCAAGTCCTAAATCCTTCTTTGTGGGGCCCAGGCAGGGCATGAGGATGAGCTGACCATCACGGAGGGTGAGTGGCTGGAGGTCATAGAGGAGGGAGATGCTGATGAATGGGTCAAGGTGGGTATGGGACCCTGGGCTCTGATCTTGAGGTGGAGGCAGTGGGTGGGAGGGACTTCTCTGTGGCCCCAAAAGACCCAGCCAGGTGAAGCTAGAAGCCTGAGGTGGAGGAGAGCCAGGGCTATGGACTGCCAAGGCAAGTCTGATATCTGTTCACATTGCTGGGTGAGCAGGCTCGGAACCAGCACGGTGAGGTAGGCTTTGTCCCTGAGCGGTATCTCAACTTCGCCGACCTCTTCCTCTCTGAGAGTGGCCATGACAGTGACAATCCCTCCGGGGCAGAGCCCACAGGTAAGAAAGGGAATTCTGGGTTGGGGGGATATGGAAAAGAACTGTTAGGTGGTGTGGCCCTGGGGCGTTATGGTCCTGGGGCACTACCACCTGTCCTCTCTTTGTTACTATCTCTCCTGGGCCTCTGTAGCATTCCTGGCTCGTGCCCTGTACAGCTACACAGGACAGAGTGCAGAGGAGCTGAGCTTCCCTGAGGGAGCACTCATCCGTCTGTTGCCCCGGGCCCAGGATGGAGTGGATGATGGCTTCTGGAGGGGAGAATTTGGGGGCCATGTTGGTGTCTTCCCCTCCCTACTAGTGGAGGAACTGCTTGGCCCCCCTGGGCCACCTGAACTCTCTGACTTTGAACAGGTGAGGTGTCCTTCTCCCTGAATCTCTAGGCACCTTTGGGTTGACTCTCCTACCCCAATAACAATTCATCTTAATGGCCCCTCTCCTCCCAGGTTAACTGGCAATGGTATCCTTGTCCTCCTCATCTCCTTTGTCTGGGCAGAGAAAAGGGGAACCAAGGCAGTCCTTATGTGAATTTGGAGTTCCTACTTTAGAACTGGATGGATCTGAGTTCAAATTTCTATTGCATGACTTGGGCAGTGATTTTAATCTCTTGGAGTAGAGAGAATTAGAGGCTCTTGTCTTTTTTATATGTAAAATGGGGATAATAATACTTGTTACAGAGGTACAGCATAATGGCACATAGGATATGTTTTAATATATGATACCTACTGGTATGTCTGTATAATATGAAGAGTATAGGAAGGGAAGCAGGAGACCTGGATTCTAGCCAGCACTCTGCCACTGACTGGTTCTATGATCTTGGACAGATGGCTTAACCTGAGTCTCACCTCTATCTAACACAGGAGTCATAAACATGCTTACCTCATGGGGTAATGGTGAGGACTGAATGGATTAGGTCATGTGAAATGTTGGCAGAGCACTGGAGACATAGTAAATGTTTAGTACACACTGGCTGTTGAACTATGTATCAGCTGTAACTCTCACCTGAAACTTTGGCGACTTCCCATATTGGGGAGACATGAGGCAGGAACTGAAGGTGGAATGAGAGGAAAAGCTGGTAAAAATTTCCCACATTCCATTAATAACTTTGTGCCCACCTTACTCCCAGACATTGCCGTCCCCTTCTCCTCCCAGCTTCTCTCCACCTGCACCCACCTCTGCGCTGGATGGGCCCCCTGCACCTGTCCTGCCTGGGGGTAAGTGGAAGCTTGGACTCTGAGGTCACACTCCATTCCTCCTTGTGCCCTCAGGTACTTTGCAATAAGGTCCACTATAGCTGGATTTGTTTGTTTGTTTTGAGACAGAGTATTAAGCTGTTACTCTATAGAGTGCCATGGCATCAACATAGCTCATAGCAACCCTTAACTCTTGGGCTCAAGCAATCCTCTTGCCTTGGTTTTTCTTTTCTTTTCTTTTTCTTTTGAGACAGAGCCTCAAGCTGTTGCCCTGGGTAGAGTGCTGTGGCATCACAGCTCACAGCAATCTCCAACTCCTAGGCTTAAGATTCTCTTGCCTCAGCCTCCCAAGTAGCTGGGACTACAGGCACCTGCCACAATGCCTGGCTAGTTTTTTTTTTTTTTTTTTTTTCCCAGTTGTAGTTGTCATTGTTCTTTGGCATGGGCTGGGCTGGATTTGAACTCACCAGCTCTGGTGTATATGGCTGGTGCCTTAGCTGCTTGAGCTATAGGCACCAAGCCGGTTTTTCTATTTTTAGTAGAGATGGGGTCTTGCTCTTTCTGAGGCTGGTCTTGAACTTGTAAGCTCAGTGAGCTCAAGCAGTCCACCTGCCTCTACCTCCCAGAGTGTTAGAACTACTGCACCTTGTCAGATGGTCACTGTTTTATCATTACTATTTTAAAAATTAGCCAACTTCTCTATGTTCTCCCAATATGAACCTTTTGCTCTTAGTGTCCTTGAATCCCGCAAATACTTAGCTTTGTGTCATCAGTATTTCTCCTGGAATGCCCATCTTTTTTTTTTTTTGACAGAGTCTTACTTTGTCACCCTTGGTAAAGTGCTGTGGCATCATAGCTCACAGCAACCTCCAACTCTTGGGCTCAAGCAATTCTCTTGCCTCAGTTTCCCAAGTAGCTGGGACTACAGGCACCTGCCAAATGCCTGGCTATTTTTTAGAGACAGGGTCTCGCTCTTGCTCAGGCTAGTCTCAAACTGTAAGTTCAGACAATCCATCTGCCTCTGCCTCCTAGAGTGCCAGGATGATAGGTGTGAGCCACCATGCCCAGCCATGCCCATCTTTTCTAAAACCTTTTGGTCCTTGCACTTTCTCAACAGGACGTTTCCTTCCCTGACCCTTTCCCCCACCCCCATGACGTCACCACCATTTCCATTACTACTGGTTTACTTGAGTGACTTAGCATTCATTCATTAATTGTGCTTGTTGATGTTTCATAACTGGGTTCCTGACAGCCGTTGGAGGTGGAAGTGTTGTGTGTGTCCCTCCCCCCTTTCTTTTGGAGCCTTGAGCAGAGCTGATTATATAGCAGTTGTCCAGTAACTGTTGAGGATGGATGGATTTATGAATGTTATGACCTAGGATGGTGACTATTCATTAATTTAACAAATATTTATAGAATGCTCCTGTCCTAAGTGCTGGAGATACAGTATTGAACAAAACAAAATCTTGTGATCTTGTTTCTAGACAAAATCCTGGACTTCCCTGGACTCCTGGATATGACAGTGCCTCGACTCAGGCCAGTAAGAGTCCTTGCCTTGGAAGAGATTATATGTAGAGGGGTCCAGTTGGTCCTGATTTGTCTGCAGAGCTGAGTAAATGTATAGGAATACCCTCAAGGGAGGACTCTGGAACACTAACTATGTGTTCCTTACAGATGCGTCCACCACCTCCACCGCCAGCTAAAGCCCCGGATCCTGGCCAAGCAGATCCTCTCACTTGAAAGCCAGGGAGATCACTGCCCCCAGTGATGCTGCTGCCCATATGTCCATGCTGTTAGAGACCACACCCTCAGTGATCTGGAGCAATACAGCCAAAAGCTGAAATCACCCTTACTTCCAGGGACAGAAACTTCTCCCCATTTCTGGGGCTGGAACCCACTCTTTTTTTTTTTTTTCATTGTCCTTCTGTCATTTCTAGGTCTAGAACTATACCTTTCTTTTCTGCTACCACCCTATCTCAAGAGTGGTAATGTAACGTGACATATCTGGGGCTGGAACCTATCCCTCAAAGTATTCAGTGGCTCCAGCCCACCTATGTCTCTACCTGCGCTTTATGACCCACCCCACTCTGGATGCCAGGGTCATGGGGTTGGGGAGGTCAGAAGGAGCTGGAGCCAGTATGCGAAGCAGCTGTAATGGTCTGATCAGATTTATTGACAGTGAATAAAGGGCACAAAGGCCAAGCAAGAACCTGGGCCTCTTGTGCCAAGAGGGCAGGGGGCCTAAGGTGCTATTGCTTTAGGGGCCTACCAAGGACAGGGGCCTGCTCCCACGCTCTAGCTATATGGAACAAAGTGTTGGGGAAGGCAGGTCAGGCAGCCTGTTGGCAGGCAGGAGAATGGGCAAGGGAATGTGGTTTTAGAGATGGGGAGAACCTTTCCTGAGGTCCCCCAGCCTGAGACTGTGCAACTCCAGGTAGAGATAGAGCTGGTCCCTCAGCTGGGAAGCAGTGCTGTCCAGTGGAGGGGAGGGCCTTCATGCCCACCCACGCCCTGGCCCTGCCAGCTGGTAGTCCATCAGCGCAATGAAGAATGAGACTTGGAGGAGAGGAAGAGTAACAGTGTTGCTTCCTGTTCAAGCTTTGTCCCAGATTTTCCCCAGTGGCTACAGGATCTTCCCTGTCCCTGGAGCACGTACCCACTACCCACCCCTAAACCAAGGAATCTGTAAGACTAAGCCTGCAGTTCACCCTGAGGATTCAGGGAGCTGATAGGCTTAAATAGTTTAAATAGGTGGTGGGAGGACCAGATTACCTTACTTACGGCTAAGGGAGGCTCACCTCACGTACCCCTTGCTCCCTGTGGTGGAGACACCTAAAAGGGGAGAGGTCAATGGGAGAATAAGAGATGGGTCAGATCAGTGCCCCCTAGAGTAGGGGACAATTAAGAGCTAAGCCCACTGTAGGCATGGACATGTCTTCATACCTGGTGATCTGAGGTGTCTGGTTTGCTTGGTTGTCCATTTGCCTCTTGAGTGGACAGCCCAGGGCTAGGGCTTCTCCCTCCAGCCCTCAGTGTTGGCTCTGTAGAGGCTCCAGGCTTTACCTCAAGTGCACAAGGGACGAGGCTGCTGTCCCTGAGTCCTCCATTCTGCACTGAGGTGCTAGGTAGGGCTGGGGGCTGTGGTCTCTCAGGGGGCAGCCTCTCCATGGCAGGTATCCCTGCTCTGGGTTGTCCTCCCCCAGAACCCTGGCCACCCCCTGGGTCTGGCCCCCCTCCAGAGCCCCAGCTCCTGTCTGTGGGGGAGCCATCACGATGTTCATGGAGCCCATAGCGCTTCTCAATATGTGTCACCCGGAACCTGGTAGGAGAGGGAACACTAGGGCTTAGGAACTCAGTTCAGAAGCTACTTAGCCTTCCCTCAGATCAAGGACATCCTGGGTTTGATTCCACCCCTCTTTAGCCTAAGGCAAGGGAGGCCCACTCAGATTGTGGGGCACACTGTGCAGCCTGACTCCTGCTACAGCTTCCAGTCTAGGAGAAAAGAAAGGGGGTCTACTTCTGGGGTCAAGTGCTGGACCACTGGGGCTCCCACCTCAACCCCCCTTTCCCTGGAGCTTTGTATCCCCACCTGCCCACAGAGAACACAGTGGTCTCCCCAGTCCGGGGGCGGCTTTTTCCTTCCTTGGAGCGGCCCTGACGGACAAGTGGGGGCCTCTTGTTGCGGCTGCAATGGATGCAAGGGGCTGCAGAGCCCAGGTGCACTGTGTGATGATGGGAGGGGGTTCCATCCTGCAGGCTGGAGGTGGCATCCATGCTAGACAGTAGGGAGGAGGGGAGCAGAGATAACACTTCCATTTCCCGTCTGGTTCTGTTCCTTTCTGTTCTTTCAGCAAGTTCCTTAAACTCCCCAATTGCCCCACTTTCCTCAGACCCCAACACTTTTTTCTTCTCTTTATCTAATAAACTCAAGATGTTAATGACCATGTATTCTTTATCCCAGGGCTGTTTACTAAAAAGAAGGCAATGCTTAACCCAATGGAGTGGTATTATAGATGAATGTTGGGCTTGGTGATATCTAGAGGAAAAATAGAGTTTGAAGGAATCAAGATTTCTATAAAACTTTCTGTAGGTTACCCAGCATTGTCTTACAACCCCAAACATGCAAGGGGACTGGGAAAGGATTATGCTGGAGGAGAGGGTACTCTCCAAGGCAAGCAAAGTCATGCTGGCCCTTGTTTCCAGCTCACCTGGACAGCTGCACTGTCCCTTCTCCTTCACTGTCCCCCAGCATCTCTTTCAAGGCCTCAGCATTAGCTGAGGGGAGAAGGGAAAGAGGAAGTCAGTGGAGGTGGAGGTCAGGGCAAGAGAAAGCCAGAGTGTGGGGGGCGGAGCAAGGGACCAGTCTAGTCACACCTTCATTTTGGATGATGCAGCGAACTATTCTCTCTACTGTGTCTTCATTCATGTCATCGTCCTCAGCTGAAGGATGAGAGGTTGGCAAGGAAGCAAGAATGAGTCAGCTTTGGAGCAATAGTTACCCACTGGCCCCTATGGCTTATTGTTCAAGACATACCCCTTTACCTATCTGCCATCATGCTGGACTTTGGCATTTCAGGGGCTACAAAAGATGGGATTGTCAATGGGTGCCCCAGACTACCCTTAGTGGACCCTTCCTGCCCATGCTGCCTTCCCCAGATTTGGTTTCTTTCTTTCTTTTTTTTTTTTTGAGACAGAGCCTCAAGCTGTCCCTCTGGGCAGAGTGCCGTGGCATTACAGCTCACAGCAACCTCCAACTCCTGGGCTCAAGCGAGTCTCCTGACTCAGCCTCCCAAGTAGCTGGGATCACAGGCGCCCACCACAACGCCCGGCTATTTTTTGGTTGCAGCCATCATTGTTGTTTGGCAGGTCCGGGCTGGGGATTCGAACCTGCCACCTTAGGTGTACATGGCTGGCGCCTTAGCGGGTTGAGCTATAGGCGCAGAGCCCCCAGATTTGGTTTCAAAGTGGTCTCACCCCACTTGCTGACCAGAGAATGCATCACTAGGCTTTCTGCAGGCCTAATTGGGATTTGATTTGGCCCGGGTTTGTTGGGTAGGGATGCTAAAAGAGGTGTGGGGCAAGGGGTAAAGGAGAAAGGTGACTGAGCCAGAGTTCCAGGCTCCTCACTCACGGGCCTGAAGCTGGGCGTCATCAGGCTCTGAGCCCCTGGACGTTCGGCAGCGGTAGCCCTTCTTCTTGAGCACGTGGCAGATCATGAAGCCTACCAAGCCCATGAGGAAGAAGACCAGCACAAGCAGGAAGAGCATGTACAGCCCATGTTGGGGCGGTTCCAGGTCAGGCTGTGGTTCCGACATGAGGCTCTGGAGGTCGAGCGCGGGCCAGGGCGCCTCCTGGGTTTAGGGGGCTGCAGCTGGGGATGGGAGAGGGATAGGCATGCCACCCTCAGGATCGGAAATAAGCACATCTCAGATTATCTGGTCCGACTCCCTATCCAACAAGGGAGCTGTCCGGGCCTAGGGTGCTGCTTCACCAATACTGCCTGGGGCAGGAGGTCAAACGGCTGCTGCTAAAGCCCTCCTTCACGACCCTGGTTCTGCTTCCCCGACGCCCAGAGCATTCCCCTTTCCAGTTTGTCCGCGCTTCCGCCCCTCCCAAGGACACTGCAGCGTGAGATGGGACGGAATTTTTAGGAGCAGAAATCGCGCCTGAGTCAGCGTCTGCACCTTCTCTGCGCTGGCCTGAGCGAGGCCTCTGCAGCCCCCTCCCCTCTCTGTACTCCCCCCTCTATATGTTCCCCCCACCCTGACCACCTGGCCCACCCGGTACCGATGATTTGGTCCTGGCTCCGGCTTCTCCTCCGGTTCCGGCTCCAGGGGTGTCCTAGTCCGGTTCAGGGCCCCGGACGCCCTCCCGGCGCTCATCCCTTGATTCCTACCCCTCCCCCCTTCGCCGCCTCACCGGCTCCGGGCTGTGGTTGCGGATACCGGTGCCGCGGCCGGCGGGGGGAGGGAAGGATGGCGAGGGATGAGGGCTGATTGGTAGCAACAGCAGGTTTCGGACAACTCCCGGGTAAGGAAGGAGATGGGCGCTTCCGCAGCGCCCTTGCCTCCCAAATGCTTTCGCCGGCCCAGGACCAAGGGGCGGAGCGCAGGTGTGCGGGGCGGAGAGCGTGAGCCTTGCGCGCGAGTGAGCGCAAGTGGGGTGTGCGCGTGACTGCGCTGCTCCCCCACCCCAGGGAAATGTGCGACGCGGAGTCTGGGTCTGAGCTGGGGACAAGAGGTCCGGCTGGGGTGTTCTCCACTCCTTTATTCCGCACGCTTGGCGCACCTCCTGCTTTCAGATGCCGCGACCGAAAGGACAGTCAGGAATCTTTTCAGTGTCTTGGGGAAACTGGCTTTCTGGAGCTGTGCGGTGCAGTGTGGCTAGATCTTCGGAGCTTCCTAGAGAGGTGACCACGGCCTGCGCCCCGTTTGGGGAAAGTTGCTAGATGGGATGGCTCGGCTTCCCGAGGATATGAACCCCTTTCGGAAACAAATGGCCCTCACATCCGAGGACGGAAGCTACAGCTTCCCCGCCCAAGCCTAGAAGCTCAAAGTAGAGCTGCCCCGAGCGCAGCCCGCTGGGCGGGCCTCCCTAGGGGGCGTGAATAAGGTGTGGCTTCGGAGAGGCGGGGCCCGGGCCTTCGGGTTCCGCAGAGGCAGGCTGCGTGTTTGCGCAGTACGCACGACCGGGGGTGGGGCTGGCGGCTGGCGAGCGGGCGGGCAGCTGAGGCGCGGGGCCTGGTCCCGCAGGCACCATGGCCAAGACCGTGGCCTATTTCTATGACCCTGACGTGGGCAACTTCCACTACGGTGAGGAAACAGGGTTGTACATGAGGGATAGGGGTTCAGAGGTTTGGAAGTAGGGGCTGTAATTCCAGGAGTGGGAGCTGACGAACTCTCTTTTCCCACCCCTAGGGGCTGGGCACCCTATGAAGCCCCATCGCCTGGCATTGACCCATAGCCTAGTCCTGCATTATGGTCTCTATAAGAAGATGATCGTGAGTCCTCTGCCAGGGATTGGGGGTGGGGCGAGCTGTGGTTTTAAGATTAGGTGTGCTAGACTGAAAGCACTAAGTGCAACCCGCCCCTAGAGAGTGTGTGTGTGTATATGTGTAACTGGATAGAAGACACTCCAGCACCTCTGATGTGCGCAGTGTTGGGGGTGGTGACCTCTGGCTTAATGGAAGGTACTTTTTCACCACAAGCAGGCCACCCTTTGACCTCAGGCTGACTAGTTCTTGGCTTAGGGTTAGGGTGGTCGGGCTGGTTTAAAGTGTGTTCCTCCCCTGCATTTTAGGGTGTGGACAGTGCTGTGGCCTCAGAGATGGTGAAGGCTGGATCACTGTATCTGTGTGTGATGTTTACTTTCAGTTCCCACCCCTTCTCCTCTGCCACCTCTCTCTACCTCTGAGGAACTAGAGCTCCAGGGTTGACTTTGCAGCCTAGTGTAAATGTGTGTGTGTGTAAGGGAGTAGATGTCCTGAGTATTACCTTTTTAACCTAGAATACCTCTGCATGGTTCTGCTTAATTGCTCTCCCATTCTCCATCTCCCAGACATACACATGCTGTCTGTCCCCAGCTTGGAATTTATAGCTGTAATATGGGATAATACATGTAAAAGTAAGCCAGGCATTATGGGAATTGATCAACAATATGAATGAGTGTTTATTGCCTATGCTGAGGCACAGATAGGTTGGTCATAGAAAAGACTGAGGTAATATTAGTGCAGGAATCTATGAATCCCTTGATTGTTTGCCTATGTGTACCTGTATGCATTTTCTGGGAGAAGAAGAGCTCTTTCTTCTTGTTCAGTTTTCACTGAGGGTTGTGATGCCATTCACCCACAAAAGATAATAAGATAATATATGATTTAGCATCTTGAATTTTATTTTATTTTTATTTTTTATTTTTTTGGCTGGGGCCAGATTTGAACCCACAGCCTCCAGTATATGGGGCTGGTGCCCTACTCCTTGAGCCACAGGCACCACCCTTATTTTTATTTTTGTTTATTATTATTATTATTATTTGAGACACAGTCTTACTATGTCACCCTCGATAGAGTGCTATGGTGTCACAGCTCACAGCAACCTCAAACTCTTGGGCTTAAGCACTTCTCTTGCCTCAGCCTCCTGAGTAGCTGGGACTACAGGCACCTGCCACAATGCCTGGCTTTTTTTTGGTTGTAGTCATTGTTCTTGGCAGGCCCAGGTTGGATTTGAACCTATCAGCTCTGGTGTATGTGGCTGGTGCCCTAGCTGCTGAGCTACAAGTGCAGAGCCTGGCATGTTGAATTTTAATTAGAAAGTTGTCATATAGCCCATATATTTGACTCCAGAATGAAGAACCCAGAGGAAAGAGAGCAGATCAGAGCCTGGGAAGGAGATGAGTATAGAGAGAATCAAGAATAGGAGATCCAGGGTGGCACCTGTGGCTCAGAGGGGTAGGGTGCTGGCCCCATATGCTGGAGGTGGCAGGTTCAAACCCACTCCCGGCCAAAAACAGCAAATAAATAAATAAATAAAAGAATACGAGATCTAGAGAATAGGGCAGGTGGATTAAGGCTCAAGGCTAAGAAAGTAGGAAAAGCCAGTCTGCAGGTGGGAAGGAGAAAAAGTGGTCTTCAGGGGCTCAATCATAATAGCCCACCTTGAGAATTGGAGTCTATCTTCTTCACTGACCTTCATCTGATGGAGTACCAAGAATTCAAGGGTGGGGGGATTGCCATTTGTGGTATTGGATAAACTCTAGGACTAAGTTTGATGTGGGTGGTCTCAGCCCCATGAGTGGGGCTGACCCTACCTGAGTTCTTCTTGTATCTCCATCCCGAGGTCTTCAAGCCATACCAGGCCTCCCAGCATGACATGTGCCGCTTCCACTCCGAGGACTACATTGACTTCCTGCAGAGAGTTAGCCCCACCAATATGCAAGGCTTCACCAAGAGCCTTAATGCCTTCAACGTGGGCGATGACTGGTGAGGGAGGACTGGGTCTTTTCATGTCTAGCAGTTTAATGCCTGGATCTTCAGTGAGGTTTTATGGCTGCAGTGGGAAGAGATGAAGGGTGGTCTACTTGTCAGTGAATCAGCATTCACTCATTTGTTTATTCGATAAATATTCTTGGTCATTTGCTCTAGGCCAGGCCCTGTGCTAAGTACTGGGGATGCAAAGATGAACAACAACAACAAAATTTTAATTTTGTACTTGGGCTAAGTCTTATGAAGGGGAGGGATGTGACAGACTATGAGAACATATACTCAGGAGAATTATCTAGCTTGATGGGTAGCTGGTTAGTGGGCTCTTCCTAGAGGAAGTAATGATGATTGAGCTGAGATCTGAAAAAAGGGTAGGAGGGGATTAGGTGAAAGGTGGTTGGAAGATGAAGGGAGGAATGTAGTAGACGGTAGGGACAACATGTGCTAAGTGTCAGTATTAGAGTCAAGTATGATTCATTTGAGGAACAGAAAAGGCCTAATATAGAACTTAAAGAGAAGGGTATCTGAATGGAAGCTAAAAAGATAAGTGGGGACTTTTAAAACTAAACAGCCCTATTATAAATTGGGGTTTTACCCCTAGAGTAGGGGTCCTCAAACTTTTTAAAAAGGGGGCCAATTCACTGTCCCTCAGACCATTGGAGGGCCGGATTGTGGCCCCAGGACAAGTCGGCTGCTAAGCAGGACAGGCAGTGGCAGCAAAAACACCCAGGCCGGATAAATGCCCTGGGCGGGCTGCATGTGGCCCACGGGCCATAGTTTGAGGATGCCTGCCCTAGAGTATGAGAAAGTCATGAAATGTTTTAAAAAGCAAGGAAGTGACTTGACACAGTCAGGTTTACATTGAGCTTGTATCATCCATAGGCGACTCAATGTTAGATCCTGTGGGGAAGCCATGATCCTTGCTTACACTCTAGTATATATCCATGGGAAAATAATTACCATAATAGCTTACATATACTCAATTCTATTTTTTATTTTATTTTTTTAATTTTTTGAGACAGAGTCTTAGTGTTACTTGGTAAGGTGCCATGGAATCATAGCTCATAGCAACCTCAAACTCTTGGGCT